AACAAGATACAAAAAGATGCTTGGTCTATTCTTTTTGCAAGTGTTTTGTCATCCTATACATTAGACTAAAGCTCTGTTCAGTGATTACCTCTATTCTTGAGGTTGAAGGCAACGTCGGTTCAGTATTTTCATTTCTGCCTTAACTTTGCATCCTTCCCCCTGCTCAGTCCCTTTGAGTTAAATTCATCTATCCATACTACTCCCTTGTAAATCCTTCTTCCACTTTTATTGGTAGGAGAAAAATGAAGTTTAGTAAAATGTCTTGCACTTACTTAGATGCTATGTTATCTTTAGTGAGATCACACTAAAATTCTAGAAATAATACAAGTGTGTCTTCAACTATTAGAGGAAAAAAAAGCACTTTTTAGTGCCTGTGGTAGTTAAGAAAAAGCACACGTAGTTAATTGTGGGGACCATAAGTATAAAATTGTGTATTCATGTTTTTGCAAACAGCACACGTGAAATGCCATGGATTCATGAATGGGAAATATTCCTTGAAGTATGATCCATACTGTGAATTTTTTGCATATTGCTATAGTGTGGATGGATTTCTGAGTCTTATGATAGGTTATGATTTCAATGTAAAGACACGTTTATAGTCTTTGAAAAGAAACATTCAAAGGAAGCCCAGCCTGGGGATGGGAAGATACGGGCTGGGGATGGAAACACCGATACGAAATTATTTAACTAGGAGGTTAAACCACATGATTGTAATGGTTCCTTCTGCTTGTAAAAATTACTGGAGCCAGTTCTTCAAGTAACATCAAGGGATCAATTTAGCTCCTTGGAAATTAAATTTTACAGGTAAACTACTGTATTTTAATTTTACCTTAATCAGAAACAGTGTATTTTGGAACTGTTTACTTAAGCTGGTTCAACTTTTCCCCAGTAAACTATGTGCATGCCAAGGTCACTTTTGTGTAGCTCTTAATGTTATTAAATCATGTTGATGTTGCGTCATTGGCAATACATCCTTTGAAAGTACCTTGCAGATTTACCGCTTCCTCTGCACTCAAAGGACTTAAGAGCAGGTTCTTTAGAGCTTTTGGCTCCAGCTTTCTGAGGTGGAAATGTTGGTTGAAAATAATACAATTTTGAGTTCACAGGCAATGACACTGCAAAAAACAGAGTATTGATTGCACTTTTAAAATATTTTTTTCTACCATAAAATTTTAAGGAAATGCTAGTGCAAAAACAAATGCACACGTTTTTATACTATTTCAATAATTATTACAAACTGTTGTCTTGTAACTTTACTATATGCTTACAGACAGTTGTTGAGTAATTTTTAATTTTTTCTTACATTTTCCTAATAGCAGTTCTTATTTTTAATATTTTATTTCTCATATATAGGATTTCTCTTCAGAACAATTGAATTAAGTGTCTGAATATTTGCTAGGAAAGAGTTTTCATTTAGCCACAATGACTTTAACAATCTACTTTGTGTTTATGACATTGCTCACACGTTTACTTTCTTATGTTTTTAAATATCTGACCTCGATCCTTTGAATACTTAAGCGTATCTCTGTAGAAGTCTTTTATTTGATTAACATTGCCATACTCTGGCTTGAAAGCCAGAGAGCCAGAGATAAATTTGCAGCTGTGTTTGGTGATCAGGCCTGCAAGCTTTCTTAGCTCCTATATCTGCTAAATTGAAGTTAGCTGCATGGCAATGGGAACATCTTGTACAAAGCAAAACAGCTTACATATGCAGTTGCCAGTAATATTTCAATTACTTCAACTGAAAGTGGGCTTGCAGTGCTTTGCATTTGATGTACAGTGCACTTCATTTGGATGAGTTCTTTAATTGGAATTAATGGGTTTTGGCCTTGAGTTCTTCTGTCAGGAAATTGATTATGTGGTTTCTACTTACATTTTTGGGTGGGTTTTTTTTAGTAGGATCTGTGTCTCAGAGCTTGAAGAGATTTTTATTTAATATCTTATTGATGCCCTCATCTGGCTTTTTTCTTTAAAATAAAGGTATTTGCTTCAGAAATAAAATGACTTATGTTGCCTAATTGATCATTTCAGAAGTAACATTCAAGGTTAAAACATTCATAACTCTGCCATGTTATATCCTCACTTAAATTAATGAGGCAGGTCCGGGCCATTCTCAATTGTTGTAAATATCACTTGCTTTTACTGTTGCGTTCACAAAGATGGCCGGTTACTTTGTGCTGCGCTTATGAAAGTTTGGCTGCCTGTGTGTATTGGAGGGGGATGCATGTTGGTTTTTCTCTTGTGCTTTTCTTCTGACTTTAGTATGGCTTCATGGAAGTCTTCAGAATCGTTGATGTCATTGTGATGTGATTTCTGTGGAAATTTAAAAGCACATATGAAGCAATCAAATTCAACTGAATGAATATCAATAACTTTAAATAATTAGATACTATGAGGGTTTCAGGCTAATTTGTAGCCCATTAAAATCTGTGGGGATTTTTCCACTGGTCTGATTGGCCTTTAAAACAAATTCCTAATGTTGTAAAACACTTTTGCTTGAAATAGCAGAAGACAAGAGTTCCTTGGTCTGGTTATATGAAAATATGCAAGTAATATACTAGGGTTTTGTATTTTGCAAACATATATATAATAAAAAGTATGTTTGCAGATAACCATCTTCAGTTTGCCACTGACTCACTATAAAGGTAAATTCTAGACACATGAAATATGAAGTAAATCCAAGCATATTAATCTAAGACATGGTGCCTTCAACCTGCCATAAATGGCTATCCTTTTATGAGTGCGTTCTGTTTTGGACAAACATCATTTGTGGTGGATTCAGTCCTAAAACGTGTGTGCAGCACTGGTGTTACCCGCTTTTCGTTTTAATAAATAAATAATTTTTACAATTTTAATTTTCTGTATTTAACGGTGGATTTTCAAAGAGAAAGTACAATTTATGTTATGTCATGTCGAAGAAAAGCAAATACTGTGAGGAGGAGAAGGGGGGTGGTGAGAGCTTTTGGGCTAACTGCTATAAAAGATCTGATGCATGTAGTTACTGGATGCATATAGCTACTAGGTCAAAATATGAATAATTTTGAATGCCACAGTATTCTTCTATCCCCACTGTATGGAGTATCCCTCTACAGCAAGGGATGCCTGTGTCAGAACCCAGAGCTTTTCAAATTCTTCTGTGATGCCCTGTGGTTTTTACCCAGCCATATAAGGCTAGAAAAGAAATACAGATACCTCTTCTCATTATTGTAATTATAGATGGTGTTTTGTGAACACCAAATGCTGTAAATGAGATTTTTTTTCAGAAGCAAATCAGCATTACTCTAGCTTTGATCCTAGAGGAGAAAGAAGAGAGGTAGTTATCACAGGTTTTAACAAGAAAAAAGACAGGCCAATGCTGAACACTTCAGATTTAAAAAAATATTTGGTTGAAATTCCCTACTTGACAGAGTGACTGCATTTTGGTGAGTAATTGTAATGGATGAAACCAAGTTCATCTGCCTTGGCATTGCCTTTTAGCTTGATCTGATGTATTTCAGGCATAGTTTCTCCAGTTCTGGACTTCTCCTGCCCAGTCTGCTAGTTATGCCAAATCATGTATCACCTTTGTGACAGGAAGAACTCTCTCCTCAGAGTTTGCAACATAAGCAAGATTTCAATTTGATGTAAAGAGGGAAAAAATGAGTAAAGGCATGATTGGGCTAATAGATAAATTAACCAGTTTAAAGGATTCATACCAAATGAGATTTCCAGATAAAAGGTCAGAGATAATTTATGCATTTAGGCAAGACCTACACCACCACCCCCAACTTTTTCTTTTATGAACCCCTTATTAGTTGTGCAAGCACAACCCATAGATAGAACTTGCATATTGGCCTATTTTAAAATAGACTGTATGAGTCTGGAGTTTGCCTTCTTAAAATCCTGATTAATTATTCAAAGAATAAAAAATGTTTTCATAAAACCTTTTTAACCTTTTTAAAATTACCTTCTGTGACTTAATATAGATTTTAGATTAAATGGATCTCTCCAGCATGTATACTTTATAAGAATTTTTAAATACTGAAAAAATCTAGTTCACTTCACTACTGAAAGCTAAATTCACCTGACAGCTTTCGGGTTTTAAAGGCAGGTTGTCATTCCAGTACATGGAAACAAATGAATAATGTTGTGTCATTCCTTTACTTAGACTGTTTATTGGGGGGGAACCTTACATCCTCAGGGCTTTCACTGTATCAGACAGCTTTTAGTGAACTTCCTACTCAAAGGATGTTATTTCTGAAGTCGCCGCTGTTCTTCCTTCCAGATAAATTCCATTATGTGTTGCCAATAACAATGCCCTGTCACTTTATTGGAAGTGAAATTAAGTAATGCGTGTTCAAGTTGCTGGAAGACAGATGATGCAGTAAAAGTATTTCAGCTAACCTTAAAAGAATACATTCACTTAATGGCTAAAAATAGGATGCTTCTTTTTAATGCTTAGGTTTTTACGAATTAATGTTAGAATGGCAGTAGTAGCCCAGTGGATGAAACCATTTCTGTTGCGGGTAGGTTGTTTGGAAACGCTGTTGGTGCAGTGCAACTCTTGAAAGCAATATGCTTGCATTGATTCTTTTCTGCAACTCACTGAGCTGAAAGTAGGGTAAGACATTTGGATCTTGGAGTACTCAACATACATGTTTTCATACCTCCGTCACTTCTTTTAATCCAAGCCAGTCTGTTGCAAATAGAACTAGTAGCTTTCCTGGATGTTCATATTGAAGTTACATTTTTTGATATTACAAAATCAGTATGAGTGAGATAGGCATTCACTTAGCATCTTCATCAGAAATTTAGCAAGTAAATGAACTTGTTAATTCTAAAGACCCGTGTTACAGAGGGGCTGTCTAGAGAGTTCTTTCCGCAGTACAGTATTTAAATGCAAGGCTAATCGAAATACGTGTAGAAGAGTTAAAAAATCAAATCATAATTAGTAAGTAACCTAATTACTATGCACTATCTTCCTGAAATCTAATTAATTGCTTCTATTTCTTGTTTTTCAGATTGTTTGAAGGAAGGTCACCAAGGAAGCCTGAGAAACTTAAGACCCTTTTCTGCTATTTTAGGAGAGTCACAGAAAAAAGTATATCCTTTATTCTTTTTTTGAGCTACAAAGCAGATACATGAAAAATTTAATCCCATTAAATTAAAAAATGGCTATGCAGCATTATGATAGAAGTGTGTAACAAAAGCCAGCTTGCTAAGTACATTGATATTCATATTAATGTCAATTCTTCTCATATAGATGATGTATGCAATTAAATTTTTTGCACGGAGCTTACTCTGTTTTCTTTTTTCTGAGATCTGTATATATGGGGGTTCTGTAAAATATAGAGAGATATTTTTCACCCTCCTTTTTTATATACTTTTTTTTAAAGAGTATGTGTGTTTATAAATGTGTATATGTGTATATATATAAACATACATATGTATAATGTTTGTAATATATGCGGCTACTTGCTGCACCACATCAGAGTGAGAATGTAGAGGGAACATAGCACCATACGTAGTCATTAAAATCACAGGCTTAAAGACTCTGAATCAAGCTTCAGATTTCCTGCGGTATGTACATTTAGTCCTTTGGCTGAAATGTTTGGAGTTCTGAGGGATTTTACCCTACTTGTGTTGATAGTTCAGGTTTTTCTGGTTTGTTCTCCCTTATTTCTGGTTTCTTCTCTATTGTGAAGTTTACCCAGTTTAAAGAAAACAAGTGATAGCAAGACATGAGATATCCCCATCTCTTTTAGAAGTTAGTGCAATATTTTCCTTAGTGTGCATAGACAGATCTTCTGTTGTTACCATGAATTTGAACATGTACTTAAGCTTTCAATAATAGATTTCTTTTTGTGAGAACTGTATCAGAGCTTATATATTGTATTTTGGGGGCAAAAGAGATTTTACTGGAGTAGCACACATCACATCTGCAGGAATATCCTTATTATAGTATTGTTTTAAAGAACTTTTTCTTTACATGTCATTATTTCACTATTGGCTTCATTTTCTCTCAGAAGGGTTTGTTTTAAAAGAAAGATAGCTTTAAGCTATCAAATATAAAAATCCTTTTCTTGGTTCAAACCGTCTTCAGTTCCTCATTTTAATTCACCACAAATTAAATGCAGCTACATCCTGTTTCAGCTGTCAAACTTTCAACAATGTCAATAGAACTAAATCTCTGAGGTAAAAAGTGAGTTGTGATCTATGTGTGGGACTGAGAAGAGATATAGTATGCTAGCTTTTTTTTTTTTCCATACTTGAGTAACAATGTTTTCATGCAAACCAAATCCTGAATTTATGCAGCTGTCCCTGACCCCCTGTGCATATGAAATCTGTTGGGAACATACTTTATGAAACTACCATATTAGATTTCTTAATGTTACAACTTTAATATTTAATGAGATTCTTGAGTGCTCTTTTCTTGAATTAAAAATTCCTATCATACCTTTAAAAGACCCCATTTCTTGTTCTTATTTGTCCAAGGAATTAGTAAGACTCAAGTAACTTAGCTCTATAAATTACTGTAATAATTTTGCAACTCTTTCTATTGTAAATGGTAATTGAATTCCTTATAAAAGAACACAGCAGAGACTGTATCAGCTGAAGACTTTGTGCTAAAAAGTTGAATGCTGAATTTGTAAAATATCACCACTGATAAGAGTTCCCTTGTGGAAAAGCACTTGATTACTGAAAGCTGTGCACTCTTTTTTAAGAGCAAGCAACCCTTTTTTTCCCTAAACCCCTCTAATTTTGAAGAAAGCCATAGGATTATTTAAGGCTTTTGGAAGGGTATATTTGTGCTTTACGTACTGTTTTGAATGTTTTTCACAAGCCAGCACATTAGATTTACTGGAATAAAGAAATGAGTCTCAAATGAAGTTTTTATTAGGATGACATCACCTAATAAAAGGTTGATATTTTCTTTCTGTTGCAAAACTGAACTTTTTTGAGTAAAATAAGGAGTGAAGATGATACTGCATCCTTCCTGCAATGAGCAATGGCTCCTCTTTTTCTCTTGAGGGCAGGAGTCTTTTTCTCAGTTGAAATACAGTGAATTTCACTGTCATCCTGGCAGGGCTGAAAATGGCTTGATTTGGAATCCACTAACACTACATTTTTATTGACATAGTAGGACTTTCTTGGAAATATAAGCTGCTGCTTCATCCATCCGTAGGTTGAGTACTCTGTGTGTTGCCTGTTGACACTGAACAGTAGTCACCTCTAAAGGTTTTTTTCTAAGTGGCAGCACATTTTACTTTAACTGCCAAGTCTTTCTAGAAGTGTTTACAATTTCAGTGAACATCACTTAAGAAATAGTTTTTCCTTGATCTGTAGAAAGAAAAATACTCAAACTCCAAAGGGAGAAGAGAAGTGAATATTTTGGTCTTCATGCTACTTGTTTTCAATTTGAGCACGGGCTGTCAGGGGAAGATTCAAAGCTGCTCTTGAGGAAAGTTAAGCTCTTGTGTTTCTGCCAAGAATGATGTTTGTTGTAATTTTAAAAGCTTACCACTTAAGGTAATCTAAGGACCAAAGCTCTAGCAGTTAATACGTTTTCCTCTGGGGTTGGTTTGCCTGTAGAACCTACGGGATTGGTGACGTTTACAAGGCAGTGTCTCCAGGAGTTTCCAGACTGGGAAAGGTAAGTGAAATCATCCTGTTAATGTAAGAAATTTCTTAAATCAATGATAACTGAATCCCATTCATATGGAATTGATTCGGGCCTGGAAGTACTACAGAGAAAAACGTTTGCTATGGATTGTTATGGAGAGAAGTACAGAGGAAGTGAGTGAACTCCCCAAGTAGTTTGAGTGGCCAGAGTTTGTTGTTTGTTTGCCTGTGAGCCAATGAGTATTAAGTGAATTTTTAAAACAATAGCACATCTTTGGTGCTCTTGCTTGAGTGGGGAAAAAAAGAGAAGAATTACTTGATTTCAGAAATTACAGGAAATATAATGAAGTATGGGTGATAACTAGCATGGAAACACAAGTATTGCAGCTTTCTTACTGGTTAGCAAGTTAAAGTGGGACAAACATGTGAAAAGTGTAGAACTTCAGTTTCACATTTGGGGTTTTATGGTGATAGAGGTGGAGAAACTGAAAATCGACTATGTTAAACCTTTACAAATTGTTTCTGAAAGGCAAATGCATTTTCTGTAATCCATCAGGTTTTTTTTTAAACCACCTTATGTTTAAGGTATGTAAGTAGTTTGGGTTTGGATGGGTTTTCTTTTAAAATGGATGTCTTTGTGTGGAGATTTTGCGATCATCCTTTCTGTACAATATTTTTCCTCAATGATAGATCTCAGAAGAAACTGTCTAGATTGCATGTCACCTATGAAGGCACCATTGAAAGCAATGGACAAGGTATGCTACAGGTAAGTGCATATAACAGTAAATGTGGCTTTATGTCATGTTTCTGTCATACTTTTATGGTCTGCCAGCTTAACGAAGTTATTTGTTTATCCTCAATTGGCTTAAATGACAAGGTGTTATGCAGTGTAAAAGAAATGTTAAAATTAATTCTATGGGCAGTCTTAGTACTGTCAATGTTCCCCAGCTCATCTAGGTTTGCACATGTACCCACGACAAAAAGAGCTGACAGAAATCACAAGTCTTGGACAGCTTCAGGTCTTTTAGTTCAAACCAGGATCAAAGATTGACAAGATAAAAGTTTCGGTATGTGATCTTGATGAGTTGTCAAGGGTTTCAGTTTATTTTTTAAAAATTATTCCTGTGCCCCAGACAGTGACCAGGTCAGTGGTTCAGGAGACATTCTTGCTGCTGCCAGCACCACTGTTTCAGTCTGGGAGGCAGTCAGCAAAAGAAATTCATAAAGAGGATGTCCTGTCCCTATCTATAGAAAGGAACACATTTGAGTTTTCAAAATAGTTGTTTGTTTTTTGCTTTGCTTTTTAAAAAAAAAAAAAGTCTACCTTCTAGACTTCGTTTACCAAAAAAAAAGTTAGAACTTCTTTAGCCAGGAACAAGTGCTGCAAAGGAAAAGGAGGAGACAGAGTAGGAGGACTTTTTTCTGTGATGCTTTTTGCTCAAACTTTAAAATGTCTTATGCCTTTATGAAACTTGAGCACTCAAATGTGTATTGAAATTATTAAGAACTCAGCAACTGCTCAATAATAACCATTTTTCTGCTGTCTCTATTCAACTATACCATAATCTCAGAGGTGAAGAGGTTGAGTTTTGCCTTTTCATGTACTGTTTCTGTTGCACTCTGTAAAAGTGAGTATTGCCTAGGATGTGACATTTTTTCCTCCTGGGCATTTCAAGTCTTATCAAACAAAATATCTATGCTCAGATGAAGAACTCTGGCTCCAGGAAGAAGCAGGATGACCAAGGCCAGACAATGCACAAGTCCACAGTGACCCCAGCCTCAGCGGGAAGGGTCACTGGCTGGGACAAGCAGAGCAGGGATGGTGACAATAACAGTTTCTACTGACAGGCTGGTGGTCATCAGACAAAGGCAAGGTGATAAGTCAGGTCACCAAGATCAATCTTAGAGGTCCAGTCAGCAAGTGGGCATCAGCAGAGAACAGGGCTGGGCATGGACCCATACATGATGTATCTCAGGTGACGTCCAGGACATGGGTGTATGCTTGTAGGGGGACCATGTGTTGGGGGCAAGGATGGGGGCCCAAGGTGAGGCTACTCAGCACAGTTAAAGTGCGTTTGGGGCCCTGACGCACTGAACATTTGGGTAGTTTTCATGTTACTTTTTTGTATCATAATCAAGTTCAGCAAATCTTAAACAACTGGAGTGTGTTGATATTTCCAGGATAGACTTCAGGAATGCTTGCTGTTGTAGTGGTTGGCTCTTCGTCTGCTTTAGACTTGACTCTGACTCCTGGATCAGTTTGTAATCTACACAGATGTTCATGTCACTCCAGCAACTTTTGTTCCTCTCCTGTAAAAGTGCTCTCATCAGCTATCCAAATAAAAATCAATAAGAAACTAATAGCATTTGAAAGATGAAGTGACTTTTTAAAATTATAAATTTATATGGGCAGTTAATTTGCATAAATAGTAATCACTTTTTTGAATAAACAAAATCCTTTTAAAACTGTTGTCTATATAAAAATGTAATTTGCAAAATATATATTGTCACAGCAAAAAATAGAGTCCAGAGCTTCTCTGTTTCAAGCAAAAACCTTAATGATCAAAATTACTTACCTTGTTCAAGTGCATTTCAAGGAGAATTCATAAGAGACTTTTAGGTACAGAACAACTGGTACAGGGGTAATGCTAATCTAAAAATGCTTCAGTGTGGACAGCTGGGGCAGAATGCTTATTAAAAGACAACTTAATAATTCTTCAGTGTCTATAAAATGCCAAAAGAATACTGTAATTTGCTGTTTTCATCTTTCACATTTACTGAAAAGTGTGTTATTCTTAAATATGTGCTCTTCAAAAAAATTCACAAAACTTGGATTCAGAGCATTTGAGATGCTAAACTTTATTTTGCTGTGTAATATCTCACTTGTCTTAAGTTTTCTGAGAAGTGGAAAGGAAAAAAAAAGAGCTTGATTAACAACATGCTCTTCTCTGTCCTGCCACTTGTATTTTTAAGTGATAGCAGCAGATTTCAACAGAATTATTTAAACTTGTACAGGACTTTATTTACCTTGGGAAATGAAAGGATCTTATGCTATTTGCCTATCTCATAATCCTCCTGAATATGTTTTTGTTAGGTTGATTTTGCAAACCGTTTTGTTGGAGGTGGTGTGACTGGGGCAGGACTAGTACAAGAAGAAATTCGTTTCTTAATCAACCCAGAACTGATTGTATCGAGACTCATCACAGAAGTCTTGGATCACAATGAATGTCTTATCATCACAGGTTAGTCTTTGTAGAAAATGATTCACATCTTGTTCTGGTTTTATGTATAGAAGATATATTTCAAGTTCAAGTTTAGTATGTTTAAATGTTGTATGCTTAAAAAAAAAAAAAAGAAAAAAAAAGTAGTCAATACTCATTTGACAAAGACCTTCCTTCTTCACCACACCTCTTAAGACCATAGAGCTGCTGTTCCAATAGATGTTTTGTAAAGGAAACAACAAAAAAGTGACACCAAGCAGACTGAACTTGTGTTACCCTATGTAAATGTGTTTGAGGACTCAGTTTTCTTTAGGCCTAGCTAAAGAATACTGTTGGGCGTACAGGTAAAAGCCACAATTACCAGCTATTAGCTGATCCCAGCTATTAGGTAATGCTTGTTATGTTAAAGCAGGGTTGGTTTTTTTGTTGTTGTTCCTGTCTGGAATTTCTAACATCTGATGTGATCAGTGGGATTGAAAACTCTGAGAAGAGGAACTGCCTTCTGGCTACCAAAAAGGGGAGGAAGTGGAGGAGGAGAAAAATCAGCATCCATTAAAAAGGGTAGAAAGTCAGGAAATGTCTCTTAAGGATTTTGATCTTGTAAGTTACAAACGTGTTTGTTACTTGTAAGTTAGTTACAGGTTTATAATTACAATGTCAAAAACTGCATCTCCAGTATGTTGTTGAGGGGCTGTGTATGGAGATGCACTGTCTGGTGCTTCAAAAGTGGTTTTCCTTTTGTTTCCACCACTATCATAGAACTTGGAATATTTTATTATCCACTGGATCGAAACAATTAGCATCAAAACACCAAACGTCACTATTAAGAACTGCAGAGGCCCAGGTCATGCTGTGCGTGTCTTGGTTCTATACATGGGCACACAGCATTCTTCGTGACTGAAAAATAAAGTGATGCTATAATTTTTTTTTATTTACTCTAAAGAACAGCTATGAAGAAAAAATATTTGATCAGAGAGATCCTCTGGGCAAATATTGTAATAGGTTGTTTATATTCCCTATTTTTCAGTCTGCTGTAGTAAAAATGTTGGTTTTAGTTACCTGAGCTGCCTCAACAGTCAGGAATTTGTACAGGAATTAGAATACATTTCTTGGAAAAGTCGTTCCAAAGCACTATTTTCTCTCATATGCATGCACAGTAGAAATTTGAGCTTAGATCTTGCAAATCTTACTCTGTACTGAGCTATTGATTGTCCTGGGCAGAGCATCTTTTGTTTTAAGTCTTATACTTGGTAATCTTTTTGAGACAGTGTTTTGTTTTGTTTTTCCACCCTGTCAAAATTAATGCCTTTTCTGTGAAAACTTTTTGATAAATTGGCTTTTGCGATTATCTTTTTAAAAAATGAGTTGGAAAATTCTTGGCCATCGCTCATTTCTATTGTGCATTTGGATATGATACTATAACAAGATTAACATATTGAAGTACTGTCTTCTGGATGAGGGTCTTCTGGGGAGGGTGAAAACAAAGCGCAGCTATCAGTCTGTGTAGTAACTGATTGGGGGAAAACACTAAATGAGTGTTTTGAAAGACCTTCTGTTCCCCTGCAAAAATTGTGATGTGGCGTGAACAAATAAAGGTGAGGATGTTTTTTCACTGCGGCAATATTCCTTTAGTTTTCTTGAGTACTTTATAGTGTTTTGCAATTAATATTTGTGATATGGTGGTGTTCTCTAGTGGAAGTGACTATTCCATCATTTTCATTTCATCCCTGGAGCTCTTCCACTTCGGTTCTTAGCCAAGTCTCCACTGCATGTCACAATCCTCTTGATAAATTACATTCTTTGATGAATCTTGACTTGGCGGCCTAATGGGTAGAACTGTGTAGCTTAAATTTGCAGAAGACTGAGAAATTGGAGAGAAATTAAATTTGTTGTGATTGCACAGTATCTGGTTAGGATCACTGCTGTAATGAATATGGAACTGGTCATGCAAACAGTCAAGTTCTTCAACACAGACATCTACCTACAGAAATGTCAGCAGCAATGCCAAAGATTCCTACAGCTGCATTTCTGGTAGAGCTGTGAATAAGTGTCAGTGGTTTTTGTTAAGGTTTTTTTCTCCACAGCCCCCCCCTCCCCCTTTGAGTTCATGTATACTTGGGCAGCATTAAGAGCAGAGGAAGCTGTGTTCCATGTTTGCTTTAAATCTACAGATTGAACAATGGCCAGTCCTGACCGCATCTTAGTGATGCGTTTTCAGAGACTTCTAAGCACATTACCCATGCAGTAAATGAGATCAGATAATTGGTTCAGCTGAAAATTTACTCAGAGGGGAAAAATTGTTTTTCAGTTGGATTTCATGCCACTGTCTGGAGAGACAGAAGACTAATGGTGGCGCAAGATAAGGATCAGAATAACTGATTGAAAGGGAGAAAAGGACCTTCCCCTCAATTTTGGCAGTAAATGTGTGTTCCTATTGGTGACTACAAAACTATACTCTTGTGCTTTTCACGTATACTCCTTTTTATTCAATGCCAGTGGTACTGCCTCTTCAGAGGTATAATTTCTAGCTCAAAAGAAACACTAGAGGGGTAGTGTGGTGGGGTTTTTCCCAGTCCCTGGGAACTTTGTAATGCCATACAGATCACATGCAAATGAAAAGCTACACTATGGAGCCTCAGAAAAGTTTGTTTGTTTTTCTAGAAATAATTGCAACTCTTCCTAGATGGATGAGGTCCCATAAGGACTAACACTTGGCAATTTCACTGTTTGTCTGATACTGTAACTATTACAAGTTTCACAGAGAATGTATTTTTGAATGATACTTGTATATACTTTTTTTGACTTTAGGTAGGCTTTTGTAGGTTTTGCAGCTTGTTTTTAAAGTTCTGATGGAACTGTGCTATTTTGCTGTATCTGTGGCTTGACTATTTTTTGCCCCTCCCTTTTTTTTTCCCTAATGGGAAGGAAAAAGCTTCACCAGAATCATTAGCATATTCAATTTATCCCATACTGCTTCTGTCCTCCCAGCAACAGCAGTTTGTATCCCAGTAGTTCACAGGCAAAAGTGCTGCCCGTTGAATAACCATTTTTGTCTGACAAATTTCCAGAACCTCACTTACGAAAACCTATTGATTTTCATTAACTTTGGGTTTCTGGGACATGAGTTTAGTGGTTTTGTGATTTCTTTGAGTTTCTCTGTTATTTATTTGAATTTTTTTTTTTAATATGTGTATTTTGTTGTTTGTTTCCTGGTGCTTTTGTCATCAGACACTGCACTTCCATTAAAAACTAATTAAAACAACGAACCTTGAAAAAGTCAGCTTACTACTTGTAACAGGATAGATTAAATGACAGTTAAATATCTTGATAACCTAGTCTTTTCTTTCCACATGCTAGACACCAAAGGAAATGCTTCCTTTTCAAAGTTAGAAGTTTTGCTAGGTTGTCCCCTAAAGAGAGCCCTCCGAAAAGCCACATATCTCCCTTGTCTGTCTTTTCTTACTATTTGCTCAGACACTTTTCCCAAGCATAGCAGTAAAACTGAATTTTACCTATGTCAGGAAAAGTCTTACTAAAGGTTGATAGCCTACAATTTGATTAGAAGGCTGACTTCTGAATATTTAAGCTGCTCACAGTTGTCTTCTGTACGAGGGCATGGATGTGTATGAATATATAGGCATATTCTGCCATCACAATTTTGGGGACTTTGGTTTTGTAACAAGAAGTGAAGTCTTGGTGAGGAATCGTTTACCATCCCACTCATTTTGCATAGCAACTTTTCAAAATAGCCTTCAGTGCCCTTGGTATGGTAATCGTCTAGACAAATCTAAATAAATGATGAGTGGATAACAGGGCAGATAAGTTAAAGCAGCACTGATAAGTCTTTTTAGTTAAAATTAATTTGGGTAAATGGGGAAAAATGTCTTGAACTATATGCATCATTTTACACAGTTTTTAACACCTTGTGTTTTCTATGCTTGAGACTACTGACAGCAAGCATTCAAATTCTCTTGTCAGATGAGGTTGAAGGTGAATAGTCTTATGTTACTGATTGTCCAACTTTTATTTTTATTTAGAGGCTGAAAAACTTTGAGATTAAATATAAACATTTGTATTCTCAGAGTATCACCAATCTGTGCAATAGTTAGGCATTACTCTTGTCTTAGTAATCAGATGTTCTGTGCTGTCAACTTACATGTCTTTCTAAAACTTATTTTTCTGTTATATTTATAGGCATAGCTGGTGTCAGTGTTTAGTTAAAGGGTTTCTTAACAGTTCTGTTCTTACTCTTATTGTTTATAACTTGTGTCAAACTGTACCTATATGAGCTGAAAACTTCCAAACAAGGTATTCTTTTCAGTCTCCTACTTTTGAATTCAGCTGTTGTGAGCTCAACACAGGGGGAAAAGTTGTGATTTTGCTGTGGTGTTACTTTAGGAGTATTTCTTTGAAGCATTTGTGCATCCCCAGGTTTTGAAGCAAGGTCCTGAAGTTTGGTAAAATGAGGTGAAAGGCAGCTTTTTAGAAAGGTCATGATCCTTACTCTCAGTTAAAATGCTCTCCTCCTTAGTCTTGGGATAAAACTTTGAAAACAAGTTGGCTTAGCAGAGCATTATAGCTAAAATTACAGAAGATCTTAATGAGCTACTTTATTACAGCCCTTAATACTTGCCAAGATACCCTGCTGGACTTTTTCACAGAGCAGCCAAGTGTGTTCCAGACCAGGGATTTTTGGGTCCTCAAACTTTTACAGAAGTGGCTTCTTGGTACTGACCACTGCAGCTGAGAGCAGTGGCCTTTTGGTCCCTTCAGTGCCATTAATTGCTGTGATATCTGAGAATTCATGTTAGGAACCATAGTGCAGAAATCATGCTGAAGAAATGTAAACCAAAATGGTAACAAGGGAAAATTGAGCAATGAGACTAGGAAGCTTAACAGTCCTACCTATCGTTATGAAAGGTTGCCCTCAAGACTGTAGGACAACAAACTGGGCAATACTGGAGTGTTGGAAATCTGCTTGGTTTCTGACCATCAGGGTTTTCTTTGGCTTTATGGACCTTAATTTTGTTACAGAAATAAAACTTGTTAGAAAAATAAAATATATAAACATTATAGATTGCCACAGACACTTTTGAATCTCTTCATATTTTTCTTCTCATGTTTCCTAAACTGTCAGCCCGGATGTTTGCTAAATTGTGATGAAGTAGGGTTGCCATGTTTTCAATAGCGGAGCGACTATTTTATCATCGTGTTTACAGGTAATAACCTCAAAGAAGAAAAAAGCAAATGCTGGTGATACGAAGTCTTTGCTAACCAGATATTAGCCAGCAAAATTTTAAAGGTGACAGGCAGTTTATTGAGAAGGTATTGAACTTGAGAGTGGCAAAGTTGAAAGCTATTTTCTTGTTATAAACTGGACAGCGTAGATAGATCTGCACTTGTAATGTTCTATGGTGGATGCTACACATCTGTGAAAAAGAAGCTTCTACTGGTTACAAGATCTTGTATTCTTGGTGCAGATAAGAATCTCTGTTTTCCACTGCTTCTGAGAGCTGCATGTTCATTTGGAGAAGCAGCGATTCCCATGAAAGATTTGCCAAGTGAAAAAATATGTACGTATTTTGTATGTAATAGGGAAAATAATTTGTTTCAGGTACTGAGCAGTACAGTGAGTATACAGGCTATGCAGAAACTTACCGGTGGGCAAGAAGCCATGAAGATAAGACCCCAAGGTAAAGTTCCACATAATTATTTCAAGTTAAGGAATAAATAAATGTTATAAATTTGAAAACTTGGTGCTTTAAGTATTTCCTAGCATTTGCCTTAATAGAGAATTTGGCTGTTTGATCCTGCTCTCTTCAGTAGAGCCAACAAGCTAAGAAAGTCATCTCATATTAATAATGAGATATTAATGCTAATAAATGGTACCTGCCAATATGTCAGTTCTTAAACCAACATCTTTTACAGTTATATGTATTTAATCCAAATTTTTGTTAAGATACTGACTGAACTGTGGATTGTTAATGTCACAAGAAGTATGACAATAATACCTCAGGTGCCACGGTGCAGCTGATGTGTGGCAAAATAAGATTTAGTATCATGCTCAGAGCTTTCTACTCAGATTCTCTTGAATTTATTTCTGCAACAATGTTATCATAGTGTATACACAAAATTATTCATTTGATATAGAAACATACACAATGTACTCTCATTTAAATGTTGGAGGAAGACAAAGAGCCAAAGTGCTTTGCTTTGACCTTGCTGTGTTCTTACGTACTTAATAAATAGTGCTGTGTAATTAGATTTGTTTCACGTTTATGCGCAAAGTCTAGCCAGAGTATTTCTAAATTTATAGGGAGACCTCTCTCATTTCTGATGCTGCTTTCATTCCCGACCCGCTAAGACAAAAAGGGCTCCATTATCTGTTACAAGCTCACCTTTCTAGCTGCTTCTAACAGAGAAGCTCTGCAGGGAATTGCTCATTTTGCATCATGATTATATAGCCAATATTAAACAACTAATGTCATCTACTTTTCTCCACTCTCCAATTTTAGGGATGAATGGCAGCGACGCTACACTGAAATTGTTGCTATAGATGCATTTCACTTCAGACGTTTCCTTGATCAGTTTGGTCCGGAGAAAATTAGGAGAGAGCTCAACAAGGCCAGTAATTTCCTACAATGGCCTGCAGTCCAACGTTTATAGTACCTTTTCAAATATTTTTGTATTATTATCTTCAGCTAAAGAAGTTCTTGCTTAATTGTCTCTTATAATAGGTGTACTTCAGGGTTTTGCTGTCCGATGTTAAAGCAGAAGCTTGTCAAATAGAATGACTCTTATCCTTTGATATGCTATTCAAAGGTGTATTTTATTTAATTCTCAAAAAAATAAATGAAATTTGGATATACATTTTGTTAACTGTTCCCTGCCCTGCTTCTCAATTACAATTTTAAGTTCCCTTCCTGTGATTGGCTCTGCTGAATCCTACTCAGCCCTGCAGTCAAGATGGAGAAGGGGATGCCTTGTGTTTTAACATGGTGACAGTTCATAAATATGGTGCCACTTGCTTTTCTTCCACCTTGCTCTTGGGGTATGGCCATATTACCTCAGAGTTTATCTTTTCATATATTGATGTCGTCTTGAGATCAGATCCAGCTATTCATAAATCTCCTGTCTTTATTTGTATAATAGCTGTAAGGGCTGTTGCAACTGAATATATGTATTCACATGCCAGTTAGAGCTTACAGTGATGGGGGTGTTCAGTAGACTGATAAATCAGGCCAGTTTTAATCCTTTAAAGAAAACTTTTAGACTGACATTCAGAAACAGCACACTTCTTGCTAATAATTCTTACGTATATTAATCATTATCACTATGTATTCAAAGCAGTCAGTCCTTGACCTTGCCTTACATTAGCTGTGTGTATACAAAACAGCACTGCTCCAATGGCTATGGTCCTTGATAGTCTTAGTCATCAAAGTTGCCAGGCTGAAAAGCTCTTGGACAAGGGAAGCTGGAACTGCAATGGGCATCTTTTTCTCTCCCCTGCCCTCCCTAATTTGGGATCTTGTCCTTAAATAAGATATTTGAGTTTCTAGATGGTTCCCAGCCCTTGGCCTCTGCCCTGGACTATGTGCTGCATAATGTTTGGGAACATGGGGTTACTTTCCCAAGCCATGGCAGGTGCTTTATCATGTTGCATGGCTGAGATTTTCATGTTGTTTGTTTTTCTTCTTGCTTTGCTGCTGCTTCTTTTCTTGAAGTACAAGAATGCTTATACAGTTATACTATATTAGCATGCCTATATATGGATTCAAAACATGCTAATGATAAAGTCTGCTTAGTGTGCTTCTATGTTTATAGATGCGGCAGGCCTCTGCTTTGCCTAGGGTGTTAAATATAAGGGCACAATACTACTGTTGTTAAAGTCTTCTGCTTTCCATAGTATAGGAGGGTATAGAATAATAGAGGGTGCATTTTAAATAAATTCAAACATAGGGCAGTGTGTTCCTGGGTCTCAACTGGAAAGGGAATATACCTGAAAGATCCTAACTTCCTGCCCGCCCCCCCCCCATGATGTACAGTGCTGAAGGACTAATTTAATTTAGTCATAAAACCTTAGCATCTTGACTAAAGTAACATTCATCAGTTTGTTTCTTCATGGTTGGTAATGAAATTAGCCCTGAAAAAGAGAGTAAATAAGTTTTGTAAACTGCAGTGATATCTTAGTACAAAATTCAAATTACCTACTCTAGTGAATTTATGATCTGCCTGCTATTCTCAATATTATTCATTGAGTTTGGATTTTTAAAACAAATTATGGTAGATCCATGCAACTTTTATACAGTGTGTCGGTTTGGCTGATGTTGTTTAACAAGAACTGATTGGTATTTAAAGAAGATTTTAAGCCTGAGTTAAATCTCTGTTTACTACAGTAAAAATTTCATTAAGTTTATTGGAGGTTCTATAATATTTTAACAAATGAAGTATTTTTGAATGTACTGTGGTGGGTTTTTTCAATTTGATTTAAAATTAATATTAACCTTAAGATTTTTCTGTGGGTGAAAACAAGTTGGTGGAATAAGCTGCAACTCTTTCTATTATGATTTAATAAATCAGGACTCTGTAAGCACAGTATATGCACACAGAGTTTGAAATATGAGTGTATTATGTATTAGTAGACACAGTTCAGCATCCAAAGGTTCTTTTGTCTGTTATTTTGTTAGACATTAGGAAGTGATTGAAACAACTTAAAGTGATTCTTCTTACAACTTGTATTTTCTTATAAGCCTATATGATTTCTCCTTTATAAGATCCATTTGTCTTAAAGAACCAGATGTTCACTGTCGGTTAGTTTTCTCAAAAGGTAGCTGTCTGGGGCTGCCCCTTGTTTCTGGTTTAACCCATACTCAGAAAACACGATTAATATTGTCTAAAGTCAGCTGTTCAGAATAAAGGAAAAAAAAAAAATCATTGTATCAGATTTCAGCATTAAGATTTGCAGATCTACATGTAAGAGATGTCACTGCTTCATCTTTGCTAGCCCCTTGAGATTATTGCCTAATGAAGACTCTCACCAGCAATAATTTTTCTGGTTGCAAGTTCCACTTTCCAAATTCTAAGGAATAACTGACTTATAATTGTGCTTACAATCCCACTCATAAATGTCATTAAGCCTATTTTGACAGTCACAGATTAAAAAAAGCTACAGCTTTGTATTTGGCAAGAATTTCTTCCCTAAGAATTATAGTATGCAGAACAGTTATGTTTCAAACTGTGTTAACTGTGAGAACTATATATAACAGTTTTATATGAAGACAAACCAATTGTAAACATCACACAACTTCTAAATAATATGAGATACCATATATTTGAAGTTGCATACAACTTAAAAACAGATTCATCTATGTAGTTCAAAATGAACAGTTCTGCTTCCCCATATGGAAGAAACTGCTTTAAAACTGCACAGAAAGCTTTCATATACCTGTATTCCTAGGTGAAACCTATTTTAAACATTGGTGCATTGTCTCTTTTTTAAAAAGTGATTAGTTTTATCTTTATCCTTTATTTGCTATGAAAAATCATAGGGAAGCACTTACTTAAGTATTTTTCTTCATTGCTCTGAAGTCCTTCCAAGTATTTGCTGACTTTCTTATTGTGTCTGAGACAGGTTTTGTTCTCCATGTCCTGGCAAGTTGAGAAGTACATGCCCATTAAGTTAAAAAAAAAAAAAAAGAGAGAAAAAAGGAAAAAAAAGGCATCCTGTTGCACCACCAGTCCATTTCCCTCTCTGGGAGGATGGAGTTTGAAGAATTATTGTCCACACAGCCAGAGTACTAGCTTGCTTGGCTCACTAGTTTCATAGAAAGGTGCTTTGGACATTAAGCACACTAATAGCTCTGACTTGAAAGAGCTCAAGTAGCTGCATGCCCCTGATGATATGTAAGTGCTCCTTATGCAAACTCTGAATCGTGGTACCCTGTTAAATTATAACTAGCAGAAGTCTGAATTTGCAGCTTAGATCAGATTGGAGTGAAACCGTGGGTACTTCAGCCTGTACCAAACAGCTGTACAATCTGTACCAAATGTGCCAATTCAATACATTTTTGTACTGTTGAAAAACTTCCCAAAGAGATTTATCCTTTTTTTCTACACATGGAAGCACCTGCCTTTACTCCAGATTTCATAGTGAATATCACACTTTTTGCTCATATCCTCATTTATTGTATTAGACCTGTACTCTCTGAGATGCCATTTTGTATTTCAGTTTTGAGGAATTTCAGTAGTACTGGACATAGCTGTTCAGCTGTCATGTATGGTAAATGGGCCAAAAAGCAACAAATGTGATACAATCTACTGTTAAAGTTATTCTCTGCTCTGGCTATCCTGAAAAGTTTCGTATTAACTGTGATGAAATCCTTGGGAGTCAGCACCTGTATCTAATTTTTAACTTGGATCCAAATAAGGCAAAATTCTTCTTGCTTTTAAATTCTTTGGTGATTGACCTTAAATTTAAAGGAAGACTAATGGTGTATTGAAGTAGTTTGAATTTGGTATTGCTAGAAGATAATACTGATTATTGTCATCATTTTATTGTTTGAAAATATTGCACCAGATTGCCTGTCAACTTCATCTTCTGACTCTCGTCTGCCTGCAGGCCTACTGTGGCTTCTCTCGGCCCAATGTTCCACCTCAGCATCTCTCTGCAATAGCCACAGGAAACTGGGGATGTGGTGCCTTTGGAGGGGACTCCCGATTAAAAGGTAAATTGTAGCAATTCATTAATGTCGAAATGACTCAAATAACTTAGAGTTTGATTCTTGGCCTTTTTTTTCTTTTTTTTTTCTTGAACAAGTACATCTTTGGGTTTTTTTTCAAATTAATACATTTTAGCTGAGAACTAGAATAATAATGAACCAGTTCTATGGACAGTTTAACTTAGCTTTGATCTTTAAGCCATGAGTAATGTGGCCTTAAACAATAAAAATGCACGCTGCTTTTGTACACTATTTTCAGTTTAAAGTTTTGAGGTAAGTATATGATGGTGAAATGCTGAGTTTACAAGGACCTGTAGCACTGAAACCTTGAAAAGCACAGACATGGTATTAGTTTACAAAAGAACATGTTCGTTTCAGTTCTCAGTCGTATAAATCAGTTGACCTTTCTGGAGCAGTCTTTTTAGATTATGCCTAAAATTCATATCTCTGCAAAGACATACTGTTTAAAGTACCTGGTAATTTGCAAGGCTTCACAAACTTGCTGGCAAGGCTTAATGTTTAGCTTTACTCCTTAAAATATTGCTGTATGCCAGAGAGGTTTCCAGTCATTCAGACATGCCGCTTCTTTCCTGACTTGCCTGCTATATCATTCACTTTCTTGTGTTCTTTTTTTTTTTAATTGGAGTATTTATAATGTGCCAGATATCCCATGCCTACATTCATTTAAGAGTTTGTCCCGACAAGTCAAGAGGTGATGGATCCTGACATTCAAATTGATATTCTGAGTCATATAGTTCTAAGGAGAAGTTTACCTTTTTTTTGTTGTTGTTGTTCTCAGACAGTTGGAGAGTATTTAAAATTTGCTTTTCTGAACAGCTTTAGGTAGTTAGATTGAGACAAACAATCATCAGGCTACTAGCTTCATTAGTTTTCTTTCTTGATGTGTTTTATTCATTGAGCATCTTTTTTTTTTTTTTTTTTCCCCTCAATGCTTATTGATTTCCTGACAGTTGTGTTTTTTGATTTCCATTAGATAAAATGGGCTGCCAAGTGCAGATCGTCAATATCAGAAGTAGTATTTACTGCAGGATCTGATCATACTTGATTACGGTTATGTTAGGAAGGTTTAATAAATGCTTTGATTTGCATAAGGCTTCCTCTTGGATCTGAACTGTAATATCCCATGTATATTTTTTTTAATGTGTGAGTTTCTGATAAAAATATGGCTTATCTGATCTAAGCTGTTACTTGTTCAACACTGGATATAACTTTTAGAATAGGGTTGCTCACTGCAATGCTTTACTACTTCTTCCCATCGGTCAGAGCGCAAAACAAGCATACTGACAAAGACCACCAGAGCCGAGTCCATTTGGTGAGGTAGCCCATAAGAAAAGTCTTTGATGTAGACAAAGAAATGAGCCATGAGATGTGGTGCTTTGTAACTTGGATATGAACTCTGGGCAGGACAAGAACATGTAGAAACTTGAACATTCTCTCAGTTTTATTTTAACTTAAATGAAAGCTCAAACTAAAATATTATCTAACTTTTCCTCTGGTTTTGGATCAACCTTTTTTTTTTTTTCCCCCAAAGTCTGTGAGAATTAACATTTAACAGCAAGTTACAACACTGCTTCTGCTACAAAAAATTAATCTAAATCTATGTGAACTCTCAAGTCTTCTCCGGTTCTTTTGGCAGACCTTACAAAGACATTGATTTAACTTGCACTAAGTTACTCTTTTTGTAAACTCAGCTTAATTTCTTAGTTGACTCTGAAAAATCAATACTTAGTAAAGAGAATTAAATAATAGACGTGCTATGGGATATGGAGCTAGTTGTTTAGTATGTGACGTTTTTCTCTGAGCTGATGCTGACTAGAAACAAGATGGCTTCATTATTTATTTTTTTAACTATGAGCTACAAAATGAGTACAGTGGTTTGTCACGTGTGTTTTTGTCAGAAGAGAGCTGCGTTTGATGTGTGCTAACCAAATGAAGTTGTCTCTAGTTCACAAATACTCCCTGCACAGTCACAAGTGCTAAAGGTGTTTCACTCTTGTTTTGCTGTATAGAGTTATTCTGAACTGCAGATTCTGTCAATGGTTTCACTTCATTTTAAGCAAATTTCTTACACTGGAGAATAATCTTTTACACTTAATAGGGAGTCATAAATTCTTAATCTCAATTTTCTAAAACATATTCTGAAATTATCAGTATCACAGTTTCACTGAACCCAAATAAATAGCTTTTGTCGACTACACAGGCTTGACAGTGTATTGCAATGACAAAATAGTTTTCATAGTTTAAAATCTTGCATTTTCATGTAATGTTCTTAAATATATACCCTTGTCCTTTCAGAAGTAGTATCTAGATCTCTAACAGGGTCTTCAGAACGACCGAAGTATTTTATGTAATTGGATACAACTGGATAAGCACCATAATGCATTATGATATTTTATCATGATTGTATTTTAGTCATGAATTAAAGGAACATGATTGTATATAAAATAGTTTCACTCTAAGCCAGAGATGATGCAAAAACCAAAGCCTTCTTAGGGGAGGAAAAAAATAATCTGGCTTTATAAATTAAAGACCTGGTATGTAAACAAGTCAGATTCCAGCTAAATTAGGGATATTTCCACAAAATTTTAGTATAAACTTCCAATACTAAAAAAAGCATATTTATTTAATTGGGAAAAGTTGGAAGATCTTGTCTTGCTTTTCAAACAAGAGGATAATCTAACAATTAATAGCTGTGGGGGCTCTGTGCAGCAGTCTAAAGATTGGGAAAGCCTTGTTTTATTAAAAAAGCAAAGGAGATGATCTGATGAGACATCTCGTAAATACATAAATTTAACTTCTAATGATTGTGAGAAACTGCTCTTTAGCTGAAGTGGTGTTCTTATTTATCTGAGAAGATAAAGTTCAATAGGAAGACTTGCCATCAGCTTTAAAAAGACCCTTGTAGGATTAGTGGAAGGAGAGGAAAGCACGCGTCTTGCCTCATGTAAACGTGTGCAATATTGAGGTGCTACCATGATAGTGCTGTAGTTCTGAACGTACGCAATGGGCAGCGACACAAGGAGCATTGGGTGTTTCACCCAGCGTAGCATCGCTGCGCCTGCAGTAGTGGAGTTCCACTGGGCTTGCCCCTGCTGTGTTTCTGGTGCTGCTTCCCTCACACCGAGCTCTGGGCTTTGGCTGTGCTGCCACAATGGTCCCGCAGTAGGGGGGTCCCTGGTGATAACACCCTTTCCTCTGGATGAAAGTGACTGAACATGTAGGGCCTGTGAGGATAGGTGGGTCCCCAGAGGGATTTGTATTATGCTTCTGCCACCATCGCCGGCTGGGAGCAGAAGGTGTGTCAGCACAGCCATTCCTTCAGGTGTGAGTCCAGAAGAGTTAAATGGGATCACATCAGCTGGGTGCAATGGACAAGAGAGCCCAAATCCCACCAGACCCCAGTACCACAGGCTCTATTGCTCTTCCTGTGATGCTCCTTTCTGTATCAGTATCATGGAAATTTCACATGGTATTGTATATCATTAATGTCCAGAAGATTGTGAAGCCTGATTCTTGACAGAAATTTTGACCCTCGTTTCATAAGATTTACAGCAATTCAAAATAAACAGTAGGATATTTGTAATATCTTCTATAACATGAAACTGCATTGTTTGTTTGGAATGAATAATAAGATTCATTAGGTTCTGTTCCCCTATGCAAGCTAGTTAATTAGACCCTTTAAAAGCTGAACTACTGAAGCTTTACCAAATCCACAGCTGGTTCAGTAGTTTAATTAAAATATCATTCCCAGATTGAGATTAATTTCACATGTGAATCATGTCATTTATAATTTTAGCTATGAGTTTACAAGAGGGTTTTTTGATTAAAGAATGCAGTATTTTATTAGGTCTCTGTTTAAAAATGTGAAAGATTCTTGAGCTGAGCTATGAACAGCTTTCTATTTAGTTTCCACTAGCAGGTGGTAATGCAGTATGTAGGCTATTTTATTTAAAATCAGTCGTTACAAAGACAATATTAATCACATTTTAATTAACTCTACTTAGTGGGTAGAAAAGGAAAGAATTAATATCAGTACTTCACCCACAGGCTCTGAAATAAGACAAGCTGCAATAGATTAAATAGTTGCTGGGGTCCATTGTTTGGACTGTTGTAACACTACCTGAAATGAATGTGTGATTGATTGCATGCATCCGTGACACCCCACCCTTGCAGTACGGGTTGGTGAAAAAGCTGTGCTCTTGTAATAGTTTGCTACCTAAAAGGGTCCGGGTTTTAGTTCTCCCCTTCCCTGTTCTTGGCTGTACGGTCCCGGTGCCTTCCCTTGCATCAGCTCTGGCTCTTAGCAAACTCTTCACTCAGCCAATTCAACTGCTAATCTAGCAGTTCTTTTGTTGTATAACTTTTCTGCCAGGTTGGTGAATGGAATTGGCTTAGTGAGATGTCTGATGAGCACCTGAGAGCTGCAGAAAAGTCAGGAGGTGGATGAGAAGAGAGAAAAATGTATCTGGACCAGAGTCACTTTCTCCAGTTGCAGTGGGTCATTATCTTGGCTCAGCTGGACCATTGTTCAGTAGCCCAGATGGTTTCTCAAGATGAGTCTTCAAAAATCTGTTTCCAAGATTGGAAGCATTCTTCTTTCTTCTCCATATAGAAAAACAAAGTCTGTCTATTTTGTATATTGGCCATTGACAGAACTTGGGATGCAGCTTGGTCCAGCGAGTTTGACATAAAGCTGGAAGTCAAATAACCTGAATTGCATTCCTGGCATCGCCACTCACTTTTTATAGGTCAGAACGAGCCATCATATTCCATGCTGCGTAATTCTGTTATAGGTAAGGTGAACACCTTAAATTGTGCAGTAAGAGGCTGCAGAACCATAGATCTCCATTTGGGAGCGAAAAGTTGGGTCAGCTCCTGCTTTGTGTAGCTTACCTAGTGAAAGGGTTGGCCCCATTCCTTCTGAAGGGTGGCAGAGAATGGAAATTGTGATGTGCTAATGGGTGCTTTTTACCCCACTATTTGTGACTCAATGCAAGCAGGTTAAGCCAGGGTGTAAGATGGTGCTCTGTTGTCTTCTGCTGTCACGCATGTTCATTGGATGATTAATGACTGCACGCTGCCTCAGGATAGACACGGACCAAAAAACCCCCTTTTGACTTTTAAGCACATGGTTTATCTGGAAAGTAAGGGTGGTTGTCACTAGTGACTCCAGCAGAATACTTCAACACTCTGAGCTGCAGTGCCCAGTATTCTCTACTTTGTTTTAAAAGTGGAAGTAATACTCATCTACCCATTGTTTAAATTGCTTTGCAGCATTCACCTGGAGATGGGTGGTATGATTATTTGCTGTAAACTTAGGACGTGTTTTTCCCTTCAGCAAATTGTTTAATCATGTATTCACGTGTGTAATCTTTTTTTTGTTTCAGCCTTAATACAGATATTGGCAGCTGCTGAGGCTGGACGTGATGTTGTTTATTTTACCTTTGGAGATGTGGAACTGATGCGGGATATTTACAGCATGCACAATTTTCTCTGTGAGAAGGGCCAAACTATTGGTGAGCATAAAGAAATCTTTTCATGCAGCAAAGAGACTTAACCATCTCTGTAAGTGGAAATTGTCCAATAAGAATTATTGTCATCAAGTCCTGAACACAAGCAAATGGGTCTCAGTTTATTTGTACCTATTTCCAGCGTGGGGAACTCTTCTTATTCAGGGTGAATTGCGCAGTGTTAATCTGTTGGAAGACTTCTGGAATCCTTTTCTAATTCACTTGGGAGTTACACTCCAGGGTTTGGAAAATATAGATACATGTGGTAGACAGAAGGTTTGCACAAGTTTTTGATACAACTCAAAATGCTTTGAAAAGGGAAAATCTACTTACATGTTCTTGATATAGATTTGTCTTGTAGTTCTGGCTTGATCCTGCAAGATGTGGTCAGATGTGTTATCCAGTAGCAATACAAGGAAAGCAGCATATCTATTGCCCCACTGTAATTGTTAAATGTCTTTAATTTCTGGGACAGACAAACAAAGTCAGGTAATGGGCAATACATTTGTAAGTAATGTATGCAAGCCTAATGCTTGGATAGCTTGTGCGGAAAGCTCAGCAGAAAGTTGAGGGAGCCCACCCTATGTTCTGAACAAACTTGGAAACAGTCACGTTCTCCTTACACAGTTGCCTACCTCCTCTTTCACTGCTCACTTAGAGATGTTCCTAGCTCTACTACCTCAGTGTGAGTGCCTTTCGAGTCTTCATTTGCAGTCACACATTTTTCATATGGCATGATCTTACATGTTTTTAATTTTTTTTATTTTTAAGGGGACATTTATAGGCTGTTACTGAGATACTACAATGAAGAATGCAGAAGCTGTTCTACTTCAGGACCAGATGTCAAGCTGTACTCTTTCATCTACAACACCATTGAGTCCTATGCAGTTTCTACCGATGATGATGATGAAGAAAAAGGGTTGTGCTTTGAGGATTAAAATAAATGAATTTGATCAGAATAATGTTCATCTCCTCCCACTGGTATATTGTGTGAATTGCTGGGTATAATGTATGAATTGGCTTCACTTAACTACCAATGCTGTCAATATATATTATGTATAACACCCAACCAAAACAAAACAAAAAAACACCTATGAGAGATGAGACTTTTTTGTTTGATGGTTTCATGCATGAAAGTCTTGTTCATGTGTGTACAGAAAAGATTTCTTTGGTAAATCTGGCTTGCATTATACCTTGTTAAGCAGGATATTTTGGCACACATTTGTATTTCAGCCGAGAGATTGCTGAAAGACTTGAGAAGATTTCTCTGTACTCCTTTGCCTTTATTTTCCAGAGATCTTGTCTAGATTTCTCATGTAAGCTTAGTGTTGGAGTACAGGCAGCCATGTAACTCTTGGGGTGATTTTTAGAGAGAAGCATTGTAATGATCGTTCTTAGAGAAAATTGTCATAATTTTATTACCTCTTTAAGACTGCCGCAGTACCTTCATTGTTCTTACCAACTTTTTCATTCATTTAACTTGGTGTCCTGGGTTTCATCTATTTTTTTTCCATAAATGGTTGAAAATGGAAAGATTCTGGAGGGCCTAGAATGCGTTTCACAACTGCATTGTTTTTATCAAATCAGACAGAAAAGTAGGCATGAAGAAGCAGAGAAAAAACGAAGTATGGGAGGGTGGGAAAATGAGAGATGTGACCAAAGTTAGAAGCAGAGGGAAACATTTTTGCATGAAACTCTTCAATACCATTTTGTTGGTGCTATCTGTTACAACATCAAACAAAGTCTTAGTCATCTTGGTATATTTGCAGTTTTTCAGGGTTCACTGTTGTTGGTGACATCATTTGAATTAAGGTCTGCTAGTTGTTTTTATATTGTCATATCAATTCTCCTTTATCGCAGTATGCATATATGTGAGTATAAGATCCCCATGGGATAATGTGAGTGAGGAAATGGAAATCACTTACATATCAGTGGGAGGAAAGTCTGCAGGCTACAGATAAGAACATAAGGTCTTGTTAGCAGTTTGCATCTGTGTCTTTTTAGGCATGGGAATGAGAAAAATGAAGAGAGGGCAAAAGATGTGTAAAAACTGTGCTATTACTATCTCTGTGAATACCAAATTAGTGTTGCTGTAGTAAATTAATAGTTTACACAAAGCTGCAGATAGATCTGTGATAAAACTTTTCCAGGTCTATGTACAGGGCCAGTCCAATGAAACGTTTATCGCTTAGTAGTTTAAACCCAGTTTAAGCCCAGATTGCTAAGTTTAGCCTCTTCTGTTAGATTTTCTGGTCTGTCATGGTTGCTGTTACCGGTTTAGCAATACAAGTAAAAACTGCAGCAGAAAATGTAGTGAACTAAGTCTCTAGTATCAACAAATCCTTTTGGCTAATGTCAGATAAAACCTCTGAAAGCCTGAAACACAACATGGTAATTAAATGCGGGAAGCTGTTGGCGGTCTGATAAAGCACTCGCTGCTTGAGCTGCTTTGGTGGAAGCAATAGCAAAGAGTTTGGGTCATTTATGAACACCTTCAGAGTGCTGCACCTTTGCATTAATGCTAAGTGGGCAGCTTGGAAGCGTGTTGCTTGGAAGGTGGCAGACACAGCAGTTTAAGGGTTGCTTCTTCCTCTTTCCACCAGCTGTAGTTTTCTCAGCCTCCAGCCATTATAAGGAAAAGATTTGGGCTAGAATTTCAGGCCTTTTTCTGCGTTTGCAACTTGTGTCCTCATAGTTAGTGAAAATCTTTTCTCCTGCTCCTGGTGTGTCAGTCTTGACTCAGGTTCTGGCAATATGAATAACAGTGTTTTGTAATAGGCTCTTATTTGGGCATTTAGGTTCAACTATGATAGTGCTTCTAGATGCATTGCCGATGATAAATGTACCCTGTTAATTAAGACAAGTGATGGAAAACTGGTGCTATCTGCCAAACCTTCTTCACCTTGCTACTCAGGATTTCCTACAGAAAAGGTGAACAGAATTTGTTCCTAAACAACTGGAAGAACATACAGCAAAAAGCTTTAGGTGGCTAGGTATGACCTCCGCTTTATTGTAAATACATCTTTATTAGTGCAATATTGATTTTCATTGTGAGGGAGTCATTGGTCAGGTATGAAAAATGTACCAAAATAACATGGCATAAAACTCATTCAACTCTAGAAACAGAAAAATATATTTAACTTTGGAAAGATTCTCTGAAGATCATATTATAGGGTATCCAGTTAGGAGAGTTTTTGCAGTATCAAGTGTTTCCAGGATAATCCTAGTCATTTTATGCAGTCTGTATTTTCACTGATATCTGAGAATTTTCTGATATGGGGAAGAATGCCTTTTATTTGAGGTCATTCTTTAGGATATTTTTACCATACATCCCCACTCCCCCGATATGGTTGTATGGACAGGAGAAAAGGAAAATAGCGACTTAATTTCTGTTTAATGTGTCATCTGAGTAAGAGCGATATATCCTGCATTCTACTGTGTGTCCCTAATTTCATAAAGGGCAATCTTGTAAGAACCACTTCAAATATGGTTTTGATCGCAGACAGGCTGAAGATTGTATTTTTTTTCTTGATTGTTCTGGGGATTTTTTTTTTAAGCAAAATAGCCCAGAGTTAACAAATTAACAACGGTGTTACATTCCCATGACTTTCTGATTCAATAAAGAGCTAAACTGCCCAGAATGCTGCATGTGGAAGCAGGAACTTTGCATCAGCCCAGTACATGCTCTGCATCTTTCTTTCTTTCTTCCCTCCACCCATCAGTCTCCACTTATAAACTACCTGAAACGTTTTCTTTAGCTAGAGATGCCTTTTGGTGCTCTGTTTGAAGTAGCGTGGAATGGAGATGCCGATGATCTCTTTGTGCAGCCCTAGTAAGCTTCAGTTTCACTCTTCTAGAAACCTGTTTATGGAGTATTCTAGTTTTTGGGGTTTTTATTACTTTAGGGATGTTTGCTATATGATTCCAAACAAAAATAAACTTCCTACCAAAACTTTTGTTTTATACTTTTTAGCAGCTAAATTGAATGCTTAATATGAAACAACAACAGGCAGTCATGTAGATTGCGATGTTGCCTCATAGTCAAGTTTGGTGTTGGAGCACCTCCGCTGTTTTACAGCTCTTGCACCTAAATTCCTCAGTTTAGAGGTGTTCTTATGTAATGATGAGTACCCATTACTGTATATATTAATTTATAAACTGTTAAAGTGTTCCTGACATTCTTCTAAACTTACAGTTTATGCACCATTATATTATATTGATTTTTCTGGATCTGTATGCTAATGTTTACATGATTTTGTAGGAATATGATTAAAAAATTCTGACTGAAGCAATATTGTGTGCTTTGTCTTGTAATATACTTTCCAGGACAGAGAAATTCCAGCACATTTGAATGCATATGGCACAATACTACAGATAGTTCTAACAGGAAATTAAATAATTCAAGTATTTTGACACATAAATATAGCTCAGTGATTTATTCTTACTGTACAATATTGTGGTGGTTGCTCCCATCTGTTAGCAATGTAAAAGGGAGGTAACTACTGTAACTGGAAAGGTGCTAGCATGAGTGTGAGAATTCATATGTGTGTATGGCCATATGCAGACGTTTCGATGTTAATTCCCAATTTGCTTTTGGTAGGCAAGTAAGCATTTGATTATTCTTTGAACTTCATGAAGGAAATATAACTGAATAAAAGCAAATAAAACCCTAAAAAAGATAAAAATAACAAACATGTTGCATAAATGTTTGCATGGTTTGTAAAAGTGGGACTGAGATCTTCCTAAATGAAAAGATTTAGAACTGTTTTTCAAAAAATCTTGCTTGAAGCCAGTAAGAAACTAATTTTTTTTAGCATTACAGAAAATTAGGATGAAATATAATTTCTGATTTCTCCTAAAGTTTTAGATGCAGCTGAGCTTTAATTAAAGTTTGCAGTGTTAATACTAAAGGATTTTGTCTGTAGCAGAGCGGCGATGGTGAGGAAGACGTTGACCAGCAGGCATGTCTGCAGAAGTGGGAATGAGCCCCTTGGCTGAGCAGGGGTGCCGCACCCTGGCTCTCCACTCACCCTCGGCCATGGTTTGTCAAAAAAAAATTAATTCTTCTAATGTAAATGGCCAAGATGATATCATTCTCTATAAGAGGCATTGGGCTGAGTGTGGGGTAATCTGGCGATGACAGACTTCTGGTAGTGTGGTGACTGGGTTGAGAAGGGTTGATGCATGTTGTACCTTGTAAATCCCAGGTGATGGGGAAGCTGGAGAAGGTGCTCACGCTCTGCTGCCGTGGGGAGGCAGCTGCACTCACTCCTGTCCCAGGCTGTTGCTGATCTAACTGTAATCAGCAAACACCCTGAGGAATACACTTTATTAATTCTTAAAAGCAACTGGACCCTGTGGAGATAAATCTTTAGGGATAAAGCACAATTGCAAGGTCTGCTTCCCAATGGATTTTTCCTAATTTTCTCAATTGCAAACCATTGGCTTCCCACCTATGTCAGTACTTCCATAGTAGGAGTCCCAGACAACTGAATTTCACAACTTTTGATGTTTACATTCCAAACAGTCTGCATCCTCTCAGCCTAAGCAGCTTTCTGTGATGGAAGGATGGACAGATGGATGTCAGACCTTGAGATACCAAAAGCTGTTATGAATACTGTAATGTTCACCGATGTATTTGTGTACTAGCCAGTGTAAGGTGAGGTAATATTTGCTCTGGATGGATTACTGGGGGTTTTTTCCTTCTTTTTTTTTTTTTTTAGATTGCAAAAAGTCTCCTTTCGCTATTTTGTCATGCATTTTTGACAAGAGTGAGAACATCCATAAAATCATGGAAACTGCAAGATGCTAAAGCTGCCTGAAGTTGTTGTGGTTTTTTAACTAAGAATTGAGTATTTATGATCTTGTTTTGTGCCAACAGTGTTTCATGCTCATTTATCATTGCTTAAGTGAGTGTGACCTGGAAGCTGCATAAGAGGTATCTGTCACTGATAACTCCATTACAGCAACACCATCA